ACAAGGCCAGGGTTTGCGGTGGGAGAGCGGGGGGAGGGAAGGGGTGGCGATGGGAGGGGAGGAGAGGAGAAGGAGGAGCGCGAGGACGAGGAGGACGCCGACGATGACGGCGAGAGAAGAAGAAGCAGAAGAGAGGATACAGGATCCAGGGTACAAGATTTGGCTGCGTCCTGAGGGTCGCAGCCCACAGAGAAGGGAACACACATGTGTGCAAGCCAGTAGGGGCAGACAAATCGTCTGCAACCACTGTGCTGGACGCGCCGCGCATCATCAGCGCCGAGTCGGCGCGCCAGCTCTCGCAGGCGCGGCACTCGCGCAGGCTCGGCGCTCACTCGAGCTCTTGCCCCCGCCCTGGTCCCTGCAGTTGTCGCTGCCCCCAGCCATTGCTCCAGGGGTCGGCGCCGACTGCCCAGAGAAGAAGGGAGGAGGAGGAGGAGGAGGAGGAGGAGGAGGAGGAGGAGGAGGAGGAGGAGAAGGATGAGGAGAAGGATGAGGAGAAGGAGGAGGAGTAGGAGGAGGAGGAGAAACGGGAGGAGCAAGAGCAGGACAAAGCAGATGAGGAGGCGAGTAGGTGGAGGAGGAGGAGTATGAGTAAGACGGGGAGGAAGCGAGGAGCTTGATGAGATCAATAGGACCAGGACACCGCGGGTCGCGAGTAGCAGGGGGTGACTCAAATCACGGCTCGGTTCCAGGATGTATGAGCATGTGCCCTAAGACCAGGGTCTTTTGCCAGCCCTCCCTGGTAACACATTGTCTTACGCACTCAGCCACGCGTCTCCATCGTCGTCGGCGTCGGCGTGGTCGTGGTGCGTGTTGCTATGCGTGGGACGTGTTTCCCCAATGCAGTGGCAACCACCACCCCTCAGCCGCTGGCGCCCCGTGGCTCAAAATATCTCAAAAGATACCAATGTACAAGACCGCTCGCAATTCCTGCCATCGATCAAGAGTTTGGGATCTCTGCATGGGCGACTACGAGTTCGACAAATTTGCTTCACGTGCCATTCACACAGAGTGACTCTTCAACATCATCCGCCTTGGAACTCAGCGTGTGACTGATATTTAGTCGCGTGTAATGTCGTGTTGCACTCCTGCCCGCCCTCATCGTCTTTCTCCTCATCCTATCCCTACGCGCATGTCCTTCCTGATTCGTACTTTCGCTGCTGCTCTCTGCCGCCTCCTGTTCCTCTTGACCTCCCTCCTGTCCGATGATGTTCTCCGCTCCGTGCTCCTCCTCCCCAGACCCCCGACGTCGTGATTTTTTCACAACGTCGACCCCCAGAGGACTGGACCCCTTACCCGGGACCGGTTCTTCATCCTGAGTCGTTTTTTGACGGTCCCGGGGCCCGGTGACGGCCCCTCGGGGCCGAAAATAATGAAAAACCTCGCGTCGTGATTTTTTCACAACGCGAGGGGGTCTGGGTCCTATGCCCCATGCTCGTTCCAGTGTCCGCCGATGCTGCCGCGTCCGCCGCTGCTGCTGGGGCGTGCGGGGCGCGCGCAGATGCTCGCCGCGGGCTGGGTCTACTACCTGCTCTGGCTGCTGCGCCCACGCCCCCCGCGCAGGAGGAAGAGGAGAGGATGGCGACGAGGAGGAGGAGGAGGAGGAGGAGGAGGAGGAGGAGGAGGAGGAGGAGCCGGAGGAGGCGGGGCAGCAGGAGCGAGAGGGGAGCAGGAGGAGGGCAAGGCGGCGACAGGGGTGAGGCAGAGGAGGAGGAGGAGGACGACGAGCAGGAAGATGGCGGAGCCAGGGGAGGCGGAGCGGGAGGAGAGCAGGAGGAGAGACAACGAGGAGGACGAGGAGGCAGGAGAGCACCAGGAGCGAGGAGGGCGAGGAGGGCGAGGAGGCAGGAGGAGGGTGGGAGCGGAGCAGGAGGGCGGGGAGGCTGCAGGAGAGCGCCGGGGCCGTGGATGGGGGGGCGGCGATCGCAGGCAGGGCCTGAGGCACGCGGCGTCTCGTTCATTCTGTGGCGGCGAGCGAGGGGGGGAAGCGAGACCCAGACCCCCTCGCGTTGTGAAAAAATCACGACGCGAGGTTTTTCATTATTTTCGGCCCCGAGGGGCCGTCACCGGGCCTCGGGACCGTCAAAAAACGACTCAGGATGAAGAACCGGTCCCGGGTAAGGGGTCCAGACCTCTGAAATCGACGTTGTGAAAAAATCACGACGTCGGGGGTCTGGGGAAGGAGAAGGCCTTCTCAGAAGGCGGCGGGACTTCTCAGAAGCCCTCGCGCCTGCTGAGAGGCTCCTCCTGTCTCTTGGGGAGGCCTGGAGAATTTCTCACCAGGCCCGGGGGACTTCCGAGACTTCTGAGAAGGCCATCTCCTTCGCACTCCCCCCCCTCGCTCGCCGCCGAATGGTCGCACCAGGCACGAGGCTGCCCGCGCGCGCAGAGGAGCGCCCTCGATCGATGCAGTCGTGGGTAGACTCACCGGCCGGACGCCAGTCGCGCCGAAACGCCAGGACCCCGGAGATTCAGGCCACCCCCAGGGGCGCGGACACAGTTTACCAGTTTGAAACATATCCCTATCCCTATGTTTGACATCACCTCACCTCGATGCCGATCTTAAGGACTCCCTCAGTTTCTGAGGGCCTGTCTCTGAGATTGCCCTCGCTTTTTGCTCGCCCACCTTAGGGCTAGGGATGAGTTCGAGGCTGGTTAACCGTCGCGCGCTGCGCATCGCGGCCTGGGCTGGGCAGCTGCCCTTCTCCGGGGCGGCGGCCCTCACGCGAGGGCGCGGGGACGGCGGCTCTGCGCCTCGCGGGGCGCGCCGCGCGCGGAGGAGTGGGGCGACGCCGGGCCGTGGCTTTCGCTGGCCGCGGAGGCACGGCAGCGCCTGCGGCAGGGGCGTGTTCGCGTTCGCCCGTGCGCCAGGGCGCACGCTCCGATCGGAGCCCGCCCGCGGAGGTAAGAGGTCCTGCTTGTCGCCACTGCCACTGAGGGGTACAGTCAACCATGACCATGACCAGAAGGGCGGGGCGGCTTGGCGAGGGTGCCCTTTGCCTCCTTGCCCCTTCGGCCCATCTTTTTGCAACTGTCGCTGGGCAGCGAAAGTCAGCATGGCGTTCCGAGGCTCCTGCACCCTTAGCGCGCGTCCTTCTTCTCTTGGTTGACTGGTAGCTCGGACAGTTGTCCCCTCGAGCGTGATTGGCAGGAGTTGGCTCTGGAGGACATCTCAAGCGCGATGTCCAGCCGCCTCCAGTCCGCCCACCGTGTCGGCCCAGCATTCTGGGTGGGACCGCTCGAGGCATGACGGGAGGCCGTCACGCGTGACGCTTCGTGCTTCCAGGCTTCGGGGAGACGTGATGAGGATGATGCGGACTATGAGGATGATGGGATGGTGGGACGATGAGAATGTTGATGTTGACATTCCTTTTGCTGGGCACAGCTGTGTGCCATCTTGGGCCGTTTGGGGGCACACCGCCTCGGGGCTCTCCTGGGCCGCCTTGGTGCCCTCTTGGCCGTATGGTGGTTGTCTGGGGGCCGTCGTGGGACCATCTTGGTGCCGTCTTGTTCCGTGGAAGGGTCTTTAGCAGCGGCCGTGGGTCCCAAGGCAGGCCCTCTTGGGACAGTTTGGGACCGTTTTGGATGCTTCTTGGGCCATCGCGGGGTCCTCTTGAGTCATCCTTGAGCCCTCCTGGTGGCCTTTTGGGTCGTCTTGGGGCCATCGTGCAGGCTTCGTGGACCGTCTTGAGCGGACGTGAGCACGGAACGGCGAGAACGCGAACAACCCATGGTTTCTTCTGACCCTCTTGGAGGTCCTCGCGTGGCTCTTGTGGGCCTTCTTGGAGGTATCTGGGGCCGTCTTGAGGCCATATTATGTTGCCCGAGGCGTCTTGGGTCATCTTGGTGTCCGTTGTTGCCTGCGTAGGCCGTTTTGGAAGCTCGGGGCGCCGAGCCCATGTTGCTCACTTGGGGTCGTGACCTCGAGAGCGCGGACCGTTTGCATATTTATATTTATATATATATACATACGAAGGATCGTGGCATCGGAAGCGGGGCGGTGCATGCAGAAGTCCGCGAGTAGAAGGGGGCCCCTTCTTAGAAGGCAGAGATGGCACAATCCCTACCAGGCAGCACCTTGAATTCTATCACACCTCAACGTGTCAGGGGGCACTGTGGAGGACTGCGACAGTTGCCACTGCGCGCCGCGCCCATGCGGAATTTGGCGCGAGCGCAGGGATGATAGCTACCCTGGCATCGTGGCAGACCATGCGCACGGGCAGGCTGCCGGTGGGGCCCGCAGGCGTGGCTGACTCGATCACCGTGAGGAATGGCACTTGGATCCAGAATGGCTCAATTCCTAAAGGCCACGGATCTCCTCCCTCGTCATTCCACCTGTTCTTCCTCTTCTTGTTCCTTCCCCACACGTTTGTTCATGCTCGTGCCCTCGCTCCTCCTCACTCCATTTCCCCCCGCAGCGTGCGCCTCGGAGCCGACATCGTTCTAACACTCGCGAGAGCGGGCCAGAGGACCGCGAGAAAGAAGAGGAGTCATTCCTCCTTCCTGCTGGTGTGCGCTGCGCTGGGAGACGGGGCGACTTGTCTCTTGCGCGGTGGTGTGTGTTCGCCTCGCAGTCCAAATACGGGCAGCTGTAGCCGATTCTTGGGGCGCTGCGACAGCACAAGGTCACCAGTACTGCGAGGTGGAAAGTCAGGAGGACGCTTGCTCAGCGTGTCGTGCCGCCGGTTCTCGCCCACCACGCGTCGGCGCGACACGCTAAGCGCGTCCCAGTCCCCAAGTACTGGCGCTCCGAGTTGTTCCTAGCCTTCCGTCGCCCGAAGCAGAGCGGCACGCCATCGGCTTGCAAGGCATGGCATGTCGAAGGGGCCGCCAACGCGACACTCCAGTGTGCCAGGCAGGCAGTTGGCCAGTCCAGAGGCGCGGCCACCCACATCTCGTAGGGAATCGGACATCGCCCACGCTGTCGAGCCTCCCCTGCGCCGTCGAAGCATGCTGAGGGATCTGCTTCGAATTCAAACCTATCGGCTGTGCTCTGTGAGGTACTTGTTCTTGTGTTCCCTCACCATCATGAACCTTTTGACCGGAGTTCTTGTGGACGTGGTATCGAGCGTGGCCACGGAGGAGACTGGGGAAGTAAGGAGGACGAGGAAACAGAGAGAGAATATGTATATATATATATAGAAATAGAGAGACACACACATATATATATATATATATATATATATAGAAGAGGAAGAGGAAGAACGTGAACAAGACGAGAAGGACGGAGGGGGGATCAGGGAGGAGGAGGAGGAAGAGGAGGAGGAAGGCAAAAGGGGTAGGAACGCCTGCATGGCCAAGACTTTCCAAACGCGGCTCCAGCAGCAACTCTGGTCCCACAGCTGATCTGCCGCAGGGCCGCGTTCACGGATGAGCATGCGACCCAAACACATGAAGCCCACCTCGCAGTTCTGAATCAGCGTCGGGGGGGGGGGGCGTCACCCCCGCCGACAGCCCCACATCGACCCTCGTCGCGGGCAGCCACCGCGCGCCGAAGGCGCTGCGACCCCCGTCGCGGCGCGACGGCGAGGCGAGGTTGAACCCCGTCGGGGGGGTACCCCCCCACGCTTCTCAAGAAACCCAGAGTATCCTCCCTCTTCTCCTTCCCGAGGCAGGGGAAGACATTGCACGCTTTCTGTCTGTTATTGCTGGTGCGTGTGTGTGTGTGTATGTGTGTGTGTGTGGTTGGGCCAAGGTGTTGTGGCTCATCGGGGGAGGAAGAACCACCCCCCGACCCCCATACATCGCCAACGCCCATGCTCAGAACACGTCAGCTTGCAGTCGTCCACTTGTCTGTGAGGGCGAGGCGATGTAGGGTTGCACCACATAGCACCGCATACTTTGCAGCACACAGCTCGCACCGCGTACATGTCTGGGCGAGACGCTTTCTCCGCCTGCATGAGACAAACAACGGCTCCAATCGGATCCCATCACGTGTGTGCGAGAATCGCGTGGATCCAGTTACCGGCCCTCTGGATCCATTATGGGGCGTGGGAGTCTCATGGGTCCCATTTTTTCTGCTGGATATATATATACATATATATATATATAAACATACATACATACATACATACATACATACATACATACATACATACATACATACATACACATGCATTCATACATGCATATATACATACATACATACATACATACATACATACATACATACATACATACATACATACATACATACATACATACATACATAGAGCTGTCTGTGTATACATACATATACATATATACATTCCAGGTGAAGTAGAGGCATCCCATGGGGATTTCATCCACGCAACTTGAGATCTTCAGACCAGTGCTATTATTATACTGGGGAGGAGTTTTCCTTTACCCGAGAAGACACGACGGAAGAGGAGGGGCGGATAATGAGGAAGGGGAGGAGGAGGAGGAGGAGGAGGAGGAGGAGGAGGAGGAGGAGGAGGAGGAGGAGGGGGAGGAGCAGGACGCGGACGCGCAACAGCATATACGTGGCTGGGGCGTAGCAGCATGCAGTTGTCTTCTGGATATCGTGCGGGCCGCAGTGCCGCGTCATGAGGCAGATCCCCGAGGCTGATCAGCCTCGGGAGAGTTTTCTCTCAACGCCAGTCCACCGGCCAACGCCAGCTTGCAGCTGGCCACTTGTTCGTGAGGACCGGGCGATGTGGGCTTGCACCACACGGCTCGCACCTGGCGACGCCGGGCGGAGAGCGAAGAGGCGGACGCGGAAGCGCAAGAGGTGGCTGGGGGGCAACAGCACGCAGCTGTCCTCTGATAGCTCTGTGGCCCTGGCGTCGCGTTGGGAGGCGAACTGCTCCCGAGGCTTATGATGTTCCAACCTACTTTAGCCTTGACCGCCAGAGAGAATTTCGAGCAGCAGAAAAGTACCCCAAAACCTCGAGGGTTTCCACGTGTCGGGCCCTGGGAGACACTGTTTCGACACTCTTTCGACACTCTTGCGACACTTTTCCGAGTGCTCGACAGTATTTCTGAGATGCGGTCCTCCAGTACGATGGGAGCAACATACAGTCGGGGCGCTGAAGAAGGAACCTTTCTCGTTGGGGAGGGGCTCGCTGTTCCTCGATAGTTTTCACGGTCTGTCCGAGGCTATCCTGAGGTTTTCCATGGGAAATCGAAGCTTCACTTATGGGGACAAGGGGCCTCGTTCCTTATTTAGGGCTCCTTGGGTCAAGGCCCCGACTGTAACCCGAGGCGTCCCGTCCGATCGCCCCTCCGGCGCGTCCGCCGAGAGGGCCCCCGCGCCGCAGGGGGCCCTCGCTCCCGTGGCGGCGCTGCCGCCCTCCGGCCGGGCCGCGCCGCGCCGGCCCCGTCGCGCACTGCCTGCGCTCCTGGGGCTACGTCGGGCCAGCCGCTCTGCAGGAGGACGGCCCAAATCGGGGCTGGACAGAACCCCCAATAGTGACACGTCGATTGGTGAATTGTCCGTTTTCGGTTCTCGAGAGGGCGCCGTGGCCGTCAGTTTCCAGGCTTTCGCCCGCCAGATTTGGGCCCGAGGTCGTTTTCACTAAACCACGTTTTGCTAAAGGGGGTTCTGTCCATCCCCGATCAGAGCTAGTCAAAAAAGGTAGTCTCCTGGCATCGCTCGGACTTGGGTATTTTTCCTTCGGCGAGGGCCATCGAGGAAGATCCTTGACCATGTGGCGAAGAAAGCACGCACGGAACCGAAGAAAGCACAGGAAATGGACGTCCGAGCGATGGCGAGGTCTGGAGGCGATGTTCCTGGCATTTGCGGACGTTTTTGGGCGTATGTTTTGGGGGGTCTGTTTGATTTCTCGTCGAACCTCGGCCTGTCCCTCGGCAGGAGGACGGCTCAAAGCTGGTCAGAAAAGGTAGTCTGGGGGCGATGTTCCTGGCATTTGCAGACGTTTTTGGGCGTATGTTCTGGGGGGTGTGCTTGATTTCTCGTCGAACCTCGGCCCGTCCCTCTGCAGGAGGACTGCTCAGAGATAGTCAGAAATTAGTCTGGGGGCGATGTTCCTGGCATTTGCTGATGTTTTTGGGCGCATGTTTGGGGTATGTTTGTTTCGCATGTTTGAGGACTGCTCAAAGCAAGTCAAAAAAAGTAGCCTAGGGGCGATGTTCCTGTCATTTGCGGACGTTTTTGGGCGCATGTGTTGGGGTGTGTGTTTGATTTCTCGTCGAACCTCGGCTTGTCCCTCTGCAGGAGGACTGCTCAAAGATAGTCAGAAATTAGTCTGGGGGCGATATTCTTAGCATTTGCTGATGTTTTGGGGCGTAAGTTTGGGGTATTTTTGTTTCGCATGTTTGAGGAATGATCAAAGCTAGTCACAAAAATGAGTCTGGGGGCGGGTTTCCTGGCATTTGCTGCTATGTTTGGGCGTATGTTTTGGGGGTATGTTTGATTTCTCGTCGAACCTCGGCCTAGAAGGGGGAGCTGCCCGACCTGGCACTAAGTCGGGCACGGCCCTCTACAGGAGGAATATTCAAAAATAGTCAAAACATAGTTTGGGGACGATTTCATGAGTATTGTTTGACCATTTGGGGGTATGTTTTAAATATTATATATATAGACAAATAAATAAAACATAAAGAGAAAACAACCAAAAATCGAAAAACCCTATGCAGGGGGGACACGCCCGACTTAAACCTAGCACTTGGGGGGCCCTCCTGCCCACGGGTGGAGGACGCGGCCGGCCCCCCCGCGCGCCAGGGTCGCAGCTCTCCGTGCCCCTCTGGGGTTCTGGGGGGGGGCCTGCTCCGGGGCGGTGCTCCGGAGGCCACCTCGCCCGCTCTGGAGAGGCCACCTCTGGCAGCTCCCGAGGGGTGCGGGCGCGGAGCAGAGTGTCACACATCTATAAAAACATATATATATATATATATATACACACCTATATATAGAAATATACATATATATACATATATTTGTGTATATGTATGTATGTGTGTATGTATGTGTATATAAAGATACACAGTTACATATACATACATATATGCACACACGCACACACGCACACACGCGCACACGCACACGCACACGCACACGCACACGCACACGCACACGCACACGCACACGCACACGCACACGCGCACGCACACGGACACGCACACACGCACACGCACACACACACGCACACACACACACACACACGCACACGCACACGCACACGCACGCGCACACGCACACACAACGCACACGCACACGCACACACACACACACACACACACACGCACGCACGCACGCACGCACGCACACACACACACACACACACACACACACACACACACACCACACACCACACACACACACACACACACGCGCGCGCGCGCACACACACACGCACACAAACACACATACACACACACACACGCGCGCGCGCGCACACACACACACACACACACACGCACACACGCACACACAATCACACACAAACACTCCCACACCGCACACATACACATGTACACGCACACAGTGTTACACTGCTATTGCTCGTGCTATTTGCTCGTCTCGGCTCTGTCCTTCCTCGTCTCCTCGCCGCCGCCGACGCCGCCGTCTTTCCTCCTTCCGTCATTGTCATCGTTCGCTTGACTCGCTCCGTTTGGAGCTGCGCTCGGTCGGACTTCCGAGCGTTGGGGCTTGTTGTCTCCTTTGGACCAGAGTGGGGTGAGTCTGGCGCGCGGCCTAATACCTGCCCTCTTATTTTCCCATCGTCCTCCTCCTCCTGCTCCTCCTCTTGCTCCTCCTCCTCCTCCTCCTCCTCCTCCTCCTCCTCCTTTGCATCATTACATTATGTTGTGTTGGATGTATCAGCGTGACCGTTTAGGCCAGCTGGTACGGGTATAACACAACTTCTGCTTTGAGTATATTTATCTGTGCTGTGCAGGCATTTTGCGGGAACCTCCCGAAGCCCAGGGGGAGGGGGGAACATTTTGTTAACCTCAGTTCGGGCCCTGTGGATGCTTTTCGCTGTCCCTCCTCTCTCCCCCTTTTCCTCTTATTCCTCCTCCTCCTCCTGCTCTGGCGTAAACTGCCCGAATTTCCGCCCCGAGTTTCGGCCACGTTCGCAGGACATACGTTCTGCTGGAAATCGTGGTTTCTGTCTCTAGGCGGCATCCCGGCCAGCGCCGACCAGCGCCATCACGACAGGTAGCGCAAATTCACGTGGCGACTCACGGAGCTGTCATCGACTGTTACCTCATCGTTACCACTGCTGCTCCCCAAAAAAGCGTTACACACGTGTATGAACGTTGCACGAAAGGTTTGCGCACATGGCTCCGCAGATAGAGGAGGAGGAGGAGGAGGAGGAGGAGGAGGAGGAGGAGGAGGAGGAAGATGAGGAGGAGGAGGAGGAGGAGGAGCCTCGGGGGACAGGACCGTCGGGGGCGGCAAAGAGGGGGGTGATGACTAGGGGGGGGATATCATGGCGGGGGCCATGATATCTCCCCAGATTTCATGGCGCCTCTTCTTACCTCGTTACGCCCCTGGCCCCCCCGCTGGGCCGCGCACATGCCGCCGGTCGTGATTTGCACCCCCCCCTCTTGGACACCCCCCTCTTGGCCGCTCCCGAGTCAGGGGCAGGACTGTGGGAGGGGCAGGAGAAAGAGAAGTTCGCGATCATGGAGTTCAGGGAAAGCGTCAAACAGATGGTGCCGTCAGGCTCCTCCGCCACGATTCTGAAGCTGTCCGCCTCGCTGCACTTCTGTAGCTATTGGTCATCGCTGTTTGTTCCAAGCGCAGCTTCAGGGCAATCATGCTACATGGCAGCCGCATGCACAGTCCACGAACTGGTGTTGAATGCCCAACGACTGCCGATGTGCTCCAGAAGAGGCAGGTTGCCACGACGTAGCATGGTGGCTTATTGAAAAGATTGCCTTCAGGTAGCGTCATAGGTTTGTGTACTCGCTCGCATGATCGGAAATATCCGCACACGTTTTGAATACATGGTTTGCATTTTGTTTATGCTCATGGCCACATCGTACGTACACTCATTTTTCCCAGTCGATGTCCTCCCATGCCTGCAGTCTGCATGTCGAGCGGGTGGTTCCGAGAGAATAAGACGCGCGAAGTTTTAAGAGCAGTTTGTTGATTCACATCTTTGTCTGCGAAAATTTGCCGAAAGAAGCTTACCGTTTAGCATCAGCGAATCATACCGACAGGCGGAATTCAGTTGGTTTCGGGCCCCTCATTTCCATCCCCGTTTCTTTCAAAGGCTTTTCCCATCTTACACCACCCCGCCCCACACCGCCCTTCTTTCTCATTCGCTCCCTCCTTCTGGTCTTGGTTCTCCCCCCGATCCCTTCCTCACACCATGGTGCCCCCTGCTCGCCAAGGTCTCAACGATCTCTGGTGTCCCTCGACTCGCGCTGGAGCGTCCACGATTTGTCCCAGATTACCTTGAAGATCTTGGGGCTCACACCGATTCCCAACACAGTGCTTGCACTTAGGGGTTCTTATTGCGAAGGCCTTACGGCCAGGGCCGCCGACCCTGAAGACGACGAAGATGAAAACGAGGGTGAGGAGGAGCAGGAGGAGGAGGAGGAGGTAGAGGAGGAGCAAGGGGAGGGGAGCAAGGGGGGGGGAGGAGGAGGAGAGGGGACTCACGCCGATTCCCAACACAGTGCTTGCACTTAGGGGTTCTTATCTCTTTGCTGAGAAGCTAGGCCCGTGCGGCGGCCAGGCGGCTATGTTGTCGCCGTCGCCGCCCCGTCGCCGCCTCGTCGCCGCCCGTCGTCTGGGCCTGCAGACCGGTCTGGCGGCCATGTCATCGCTGTCGCCGCCTCGTCGCCGCTTCGTCGCCGCCCGTCGTCTGGGCTTGCGCGTCGGTCTGGCGGCTATGTTGTTGCCGTCGCCGCCCCGTCGCCGTCCGTCGTCTGGGCCTGAGTGTCTGCTTGGCGGCGCTGTTGTCGTGGGCGCCGCCCTGCTGCCGCCTAAATTGCACAACGTCGGTTGCACCGCATATCATCTCCTTTCTAAAAAGAGAATAGACTCTACCCCCCCCCCCGGCGTTATCGTCCCCCCTTTCGGGTATGTAAATCATATATGATTCTGACCACATGTCCATCCTAAGTATGAATTTACACTATCCCAGGGGGGGCCGGTATCGACCCCCTCTGAGGTTCCTCCCTCTTAAAAAGCAATACGCGGGGACATCTTTTGTTCTAACATAAGACTTGTTCGCGAATCCCTTGTAAAAAATGGGACGAAGTGTACACGCGCGCGCCGTCGCGCGCGCATGCCGAAATCCTTCAAAAACTCTCGGTGTCGGAAGGATTTCGCAATCGAGTTTCCACAAAACCTACAAAAGCACAGGGTTTCACAACACTGATTTACTAGAAAAGCTTACGCGCGAGCTCTTGCGAAATCTTACGAAAAGCATAGGTTTTTCAAGATTTATTCAAAATGCTACCAAACGGACTTCGGGTGCGCGCATGTCGACACCTGTCGAACGCCTTTGCGCGTGTGCCGTCGCGAGAATCCTCTGTAGAAAATGGGATGAGGTGCAGACGCGCGCGTCGTCGCGCGCGTATGCCGAGATCCTTCAAAACCCATCGGTTTCGGAAGGATTTCAAAATCGTGTGTCCAAACAACCTACAAAATTAGCTTGGCGAAGGACCCAACCATATGCAGTTGTGAGTACCGCAATTATGAATATTTTCTTCGGTGCTCCCTATGGGGCCACGAAGCGCTGTACTGGGTGGGTGAAACGCAGGGAGCAAGGGCTGTGCTGGGCGGTGGCTGACGCATGCGGGCGGTGCCACTGGGACCTTCGGTGGAGCTCCCTATGAAACGTTGTACTGGGTGGGCGAAACGCAAGGAGCAAGGGCTGTGCTGGGTGGTTGCTGACGCATTCGGGCGGTGCCACTGAGACCTTCGGTGGAGCTCCCCATGGGGCCACGGAACGCTGCACTGGGTGAGAGAAAAGCAGGGAGCAAGGGCTGTGCTGGGTGGTGGCGGACGCATGCGGGCGATGCCACTGGGACCTTGGCTGGAGCCCCCTTCTGGGGCCAAGAAACGCTGTACTGGGTGCGGGTGGTGCCAGTGGGACCTTCGGTGGAGCTCCCTATGGGGCCACGAAGCGCTGTACTGGGTGGGTAAAACGCAAGGAGCAAGGGCTGTGCTGGGCGGTGGCCGGCGCATGCGGGCGGTGCCAGTGGGACCTTCGGTGGAGCTCCCTATGGGGCCACCAAGCGCTGTACTGAGTGGGTGAAACGCAGGGAGGAGGGGGAGGAGGGCCACGAAACGCTGTACTGAGTGGGGGGGACGCATGCGGGCGGTAGACCTGGAACCTTGAGTGGAGCTCCCTATGGGGCCACGAAAACGCTGTACCGGGTGGGTGAAACGCAGGGAAGAGGGGGAGGAGGGCCACGAAACGCTGTACTGGGTGGGGGGGACGCATGCGGACGGTAGACCTGGAACCTTGGGTGGAGCTCCCTATGGGGCCACGAAACGCTGTACTGGGTGGGTGAAACGCAAGGAGGAGAGGGAGGAGGGCCACGAAACGCTGTATTGGGTGGGGGGGACGCATGCGGACGGTAGACTTGGAACCTTCGGTGGAGTACCCTATGGGGCCACGAAACGGTGTATTGGGTGGGTGAAACGCAGGGAGGAGGGGGATGAGGGCCACGAAACTGTACAGGGTTGGGGGGACGCATGCGGACGGTAGACTTGGAACCTTCGGTGGAGCTCCCTATGGGCCACGAAACAGTGTACTGGGTGGGTGAAACGTAGGGAGGAGGGGGAGGAGGGCCACGAAACGCTGTACTGTGTGGGTGGGGGGACGCATGCGGACGGTAGACCTGGAACCTTCGGTGGAGCTCCCTATGGGGCCACGAAACGTTGTCCTGTGCGTGGGGGGCGCATGCGGCCCCCCCACTGGGTCCTTCGGTGGAGGGCCACGAAACGTTGTCCTGGGCGTGGGGGACGCATGCGGCCCCCCCACTGGGGCCTTCGGTGGAGCTCCTATGGGGCCACAAACGCTGTGCTGGGCGTGGGAGCCGCATGCCCCCCCCCCCCCACTGGGGCCTTCGGTGGAGCTCCCTATGGGGCCACGAAACGCTGCCCTGGGCGTGGGGGACGCATGCGACCCCCCCCACAGGGGCCTTCGGTGGAGCTTCCTATGGGGCCACGAAACAAATCAGCCGTGGCGATGCCGATGATGATGCTGATGATGATGATGATGATGATGATGATGATGATGATGATGATGATGATGATGATGATGATGATGATGATGATGATGATGATGGGAGGAGGGGGTGAGCTGAGACATGCGGAGAGCAAAGGCAAGGATGGTAGAGGAGGGAGGAGGAGGAGAGGAGGAGGAAGGAGGAAGGAGGTGGGACGCGGGGCGCTGTCTCTTCAAAACGAGGACCCAACACCACAGGATGGTTGGGAAAAACACAAGGTTTCGCAACACGCATTTTCAACAAAAGCGTGCGCGCGCGCTCTTGCGTCATCGTCGTCGCCTACGTCGTCCTCTGTCTTTCCTCGTGTTCGTCGTCGTCGTCCTCTTTGGCGTCGTGGTCGTTTCCGTCGTCGTTGTCGCCGTGGTCGTCCTTCCTCCTCCTCCCTCGTCGTCGTCGTCGTCCGTCGTCGGCGTCTCGTCGTCGTCCCTCCTATTTCGTCGCCGTCGTCGTCGTCGTCGTCGTCGTTGTCGTCGTCGTCTTCCCTCCTCCCTCGTCGTTGTCGTCGTCGGCGTCGCCGTCCTTCCTTCTTCGTCGTTCGCGTCGTCGCCGTCCTCCTTCCTCGTCGTTGTCGTCGTTGTCGCCGTCGTCGTCCTCCCTCCTCCCTCGTCGTCGTCTTCGTTGGCGACGTCGTCTTCGTCGTCGTCGTCGGCGTCAGCGTCGTCGTCGTCTTCGTCGCCGTCGACGTCGGCGCCGTCGTCGTCGCCGCCCTCGTCGTCGTCGTCGTCGTCGGCCATCTTGCTTCTCCGGCCTTCTTGGGGCGCTCTTGAGGCGCCCCCGAGGGCTCCAAGACGACCTTGGAGCGATATCTGTGCTCGGTCCCGGATCTCTCGACACCGCATGGGTTTTGCAAACCAAGTTGCGGGTGGGTGAGTGGGATATTTGCAAGAGCGTGGGATGTGTCAACTCATGGGTAAAAATCAACTGCACCGCATAGATTGCCCCACATAGACAGCACATCACAGGTTGCACCACAGATTGCACCAGGTCGATAGCACCGCATAAACTGCGCACCACATCGATTGCACGACATAGATTGCAGCACAAACATTGCACCACATAGATTGTACCACATGTATGCTCTTTTTCTTTAAAGAAATTAGGTCATATCCCCATGAACCCCCCAGACTTATCGAGCCGGCCTCGCGCATTGCAATTGACACCTGATCTTGCCTCCTTGCTCACTTTCCTGATGAATTCATACCATCCCAGCCAAGCCGGAGTTCGGCCGCCCCCCCCTCATCCTCTGCAGGAAACAATGCGCGCGCATTTGTTTATCAAAAACCATCAGTTTTCAAGAATCCCTTGCAAAAAACGAGACGAAGTGCACACGCGCGCGTCGTCGCGCGCGCATGCCAGAATACCCAAAAACTTGAGGTGTCGTAAGGATTTCAAAATCCAGAATCGCGAAAGCATATAAAGTACACACTGTTTCGCAACAAGGGTTTTCAAAAAAACTCCTCTCGCGGTCTT